ATCGTAGAAACACACAGGATGTACCGAGCGGACAATGTTGCGTGCATCGGTGTATACGTGAAATACTTCGAGCCGATTATTATCGAACACCAACGATCCGGAGTCGCGCGAGTGCCACTCTCTTCCACCGATCATCGGCGACGCATTCTCGATTGTTTTGATTCGCTCAAGCCCGAACCTAGACCCAAAAGGGATAGACAACACAACAAGTAGACACACGGATCGAGAGAGGACAAACCGCGTGTAGGTTATATAATGTACCCGCGTACGTGTATATGCGTGAGAGTAAGGGAGGGAACGTAACTGAGAAAGAGAGAAAACGAGAGAGATGGAAAAAGGGGTACAGTGAGTGAGTGAGTGAGTGAATGAGTGAGTGAGTGAGTGAGTGAGTAAGTGACTGAGAGAAAGAGAGAGAAAGGGTGGGAGAGAAAGAGAGAGTGAGAAAAAGATAGGGTGGGGGAGAGAGAGAGAGTGAGAACGAGTGTGTGAGAGAGAGAGTAAGAGAGAAAAGCAGAACGAGGAAGAGAAAAGAACGCAAAGCAACGATGATTGCACGAAGGATGCGTTCGCGACGGAAGTACGAGGCACACTAAGGGCGTGGGCAACCGGAGCAAGGCCGGTGTGGTGTTCCGAGGGGAGGACCACATTGATTTTGATTTTCGAAGCGCGCGCATGAGTCTTCATGTTCGGCCCATTCATACGTATGGGACATTGGTCTTTACCTACGAGATACTACTCTCTCGATCATTCACGTTGCACACGAAATTTTGCGAAAAGGCGCACTACTCGTCTGCGAAGCTCAGTGATTGGCGTTATACAAATGACTATTTAAATGATAATTTATTCATTGTTCGTTCTTCGCAGCGATAAGCGCATATGAATGATTTGGGTAACTGAAATACATTCAAAGTACTAAAGAAAGAAGTTTTTACAATATGAAAATTCCGATTTTCTTGAAACTTCTACGGCTTCTAGATAACCTCCATCGAAATGTCAGGAAATTTTCGTTTTTTTGTTATATTTCGTTTCTTCAAGGTACTCACATCCTCCAAACGTTAAAACGGGTTTTCTATCTTCCTGTATATGTTAGAAATAGCAATAGATACAAAAAATTGGTTAAATGAGTATTCGATGATTTCTGTGCACTATGAAACTATTTACAATGTACCGAATTACACAGGCAGCTCCATCACTAACTGCGCACCGTTCTCGCGAGCGCATGACGTGTGACTCCGGCAACGTCCACGGTGGGTTCAGGCCCATTTATACATATCCGGGCCGTGTCCGTCGCACCGACAAAGCCCGATCGCGCGGATCGGACACGGAACGGACACGGCCCGGATGTGTATAAATGAGTCTTTAAACAGCAACGACAAGGATCTGGGTACACATGCCAGTTAAAATGATTGAAATTGTGATAGTTGCATAGATTTAATAACTGTTAACCAGGGAAGATTTTTGTTAGTTAATTTGTCATTTATAGTCAACTGTACGTCCTAATAATTTTTAGCTTTTTTTTTATTTATTTACCTAGAAATTGTTACATTTGATTTCATTATAATATTTGTATATCTTACAATGTGATATCGGGGGTATTATGAGTGAACGCCGAATAGAAGCATTGGAGATTTTAATGAAAAATATCATTTTATGCGTAATCTAATAAAACAGAGGTAACGCAGAGCTGGACAGCCTAAGATTTATTTTATTAGACTATGCACGTGTAAAGGAAGTCTTCCATTAGTATTTCCTCTGCCATTATTGCGCCTTTGTCTACCCCAATATCATGTTATAGAATATAGAACATCGTTGAAATCATCCGTTTTTGCTATGAAATTAGTAGTTTTATTTCCGCCCGACTTTTGTTTACGAGATATTCGCAAAAAACTGTCGGTACCACTACAGTGAAAGTAAAATCTGCAATTTAGGGGCTTCGCACCTTTAATGACCTTGCCCTTGACGTATGTTGTTAAGGTCATCCATCTGAATGTCTTTCAGAAGGTTAGGGTAGACCGAAGCGAATTGGATCGAAATAAGAATTCAGTCCATATTTCTTATATTCTCATGGAAACGAACATTTCGATTGTTCATATTGCCGTATCGTATCATCCTTGTCCCCCACACTCGATCCAATAACCCATCAATTGTTTTACGTACTTGTTTAGTGCTGGAACATGTTGCCATTGAAACGAACGCGTGCGCACGTTATAATTTTGGTGCGAATCTAAAATACGTAATCTGCAATTTCGTACTTAAAATAAAAGAGTAAACTTGAAACTTCAAATGTGTTTATTATTATTAATTTGCATGGTGTCCAAATTTGGTATTTCATATACTTTAGATGATTATATCATAATTCGTATATGTATCCTATTCAATTTAAAGTCCTTATGTATGAGGCTAATCGGATCACGTTATTTGGGGTGAATCGGATCACTTTCATTCTTCGTTCGAATATTTTAATGATTATAAATGTGATAATTATTTATATGCAGATAGTTCGTAACTACATTAAAAACACCAATTAAGGTTCATGGTGTCTAGAAAAAATGAAAGAAGATTGGATACAGTGCAATGTTTGCGAAGAGTGGTGTCACGAGAATTGTGCTGATAGAGGTCGTGTTAAAGAACACTATACTTGCGTCCTATGTGTCAAATAAGATCAATTGGCCCCATTATCATTAAATTATATTTGTTTAAATTAATTTAAAGACATTTTCTACGAAAATTTGAGTTTTCTCAGAGATTTCTGGATTATCTGATTCGCCCCAACTTTGGGAGCGAATCGGATGTTTCTCACTTTTTCGTTTTTTGCTTGCAAAATAAAGATTTTCAAGTTTTTTGAATTCTATTATTATTAATGTTCAAATTAAATGTGTACTAATTACGAATTTATAATATATAATTAGCTTTCTAAACTTTCACTATTACTTTTTACTATCAAACAGCAAATGATCCGATTCGCCTCAGTCTACCCTATAGCTGTGTGTCGTTATCGGTTGGAAAGTTATTAACCAAAAAGTTTTGTCCGTCTATGCGTGCTGATAATAAGTAGAAACGGCATGCAATGAGTAGACGCGTTAGCCAAGTCACCACCCAGTGTGAACATCCCACCACAGACCACCCCCCACTGTTAAGCACGCACCCAACCAGGAAAGTAGTGATGCCGATAGTATACGGTCGTATACGCACGAACGAATCAAACACCTGTAAAACAATGGGAGCGGTTATACTACACATGTATCATTCACCCGATGTCGCACGAGTTCGTTCGTACACGAACGTCAAAACACACGGGAAATTGCCGGCACAATTTTTCAACATAGGGCTTTGATTAAGTACTCATTATAAAGCTAAAGGAATGTTGTTATCAAGTTAAAGCTAAAGGAATGTTATACCAAATATAGTAATAATTCATGTTAAATTTTAAAATAGCGATTTGACACTGTTCCCATCCATGGACCAAGTTGGAACAAGTACCACTAGATTTCTTGAATCTTCAGCTTTAAAATATACTTTTCGAAGAGATGGAGCGTTTTCGGGATAATTAAAAAACAATAAATTTTATTGCATCGCAACGCGCAGTCGTACATTATGGTTAACTTTATTTTCTTTCAATATTCCCGAAAACACTCCATCTTTTTGAAAAGTGTATTTTGATGTTGAAGATTCAAGGAATCCAGTAGTATTTTCTCCAAATTGATTCATGGGTTAGGTGTCAAATCGGCGTGTCAAAATTTAATCAAATATTACGGTCGAAGTGCAGTCCAGTCCAGGCCCTTGAAAGAAGGTACTTGAAAGCGATAACTCCGGTAAATCCGATCCAACAGAGGCCGTAAATCTGCGACACAAATTTGTTCAAGACTGTAAGCTCCGAGTGTCCCTACTATTGTATTAACTACATAAACGACTACTAATACTAAATTAATAGAAAAAAAATACAAACACTCCTGTTTTGTAACAAAAAGTTAACTACGTAGAAAATAACAGTGTTAATAGCAAAAATGAGTATGCACATTAATATAAAAAATAACAAAATAAATAAAACCATCAATGTAAGGAATAATGTTAAAGAAGTAATTACTTTATTTATACATATTTTTACGCTAAGTAAATTTCTTTTTAATGAATCTTCATTACTTGAAAATATTCATTCTAAATATACAAATATTTTTCATTGGGATGCTTGACTTCTGTCCCTCAGATATTAGTTTCTTTAACTAAAACTTAAGAACGTCCTACTGTCAAAGCGTTTAGTTGTCATTTATTTATTCATCATGTTTTAAAAGCAAGAATAGGCGCATGCGCCACAGGGAATGTAACCGTGATTGAACCCATGAACATAAGAATTAGAAGACGGAGCGCAAGATCTCATTCCTAAGTCCATGACTGATCTAAAGACTGTAGTGCCCTCGCTTCGAGGCAAAGTTCGAAAGTAACTTTGTTTCTTTAAGGGATCACCCCCACTACGGGAGTTTTCGAACATGTATATACGACCGTGCTCGTAAGTATACTATGTTTTTCGTTATTTCTGATTTTTTTATTAAATAAATATTGAAGAAATTCTGGGAAAACTTCCTGACCATTTTCATAATTATAATTATTTATATGTTTCATATACATAACAAAATATCGGTATAAAAGTTTCTATAGGAAAGAGAGAAATGGTGTATAGATATTTCTTTCTCTGTCGTAGGTTTGGGCAAATACATCGCGGCTAATGGGCTCGTGTCCGGTCTCTGATTATGATAGTGTCTCTAGGGTAGATAATTGTTCAGCGATATATTCAAGAGAGGCACAAATCAAATGAGCGGCGGGAACGTATTCACGAAATTTCTAGAAGGCATCTAGGCATCCACATCCCCACCTTAATATTTGTTTCCTTAGCAATTTCAAGTCTCATGTGAGAGCTGGCAACTTCTGGTCTTTACGTTATTTATTTGCTCCTACAAATTTTTACGTTGATCGTAATCAATCGTAATCCGAATTTTCCAGAAAATTATTTTCTTAAAAGACTGCATTACGTGTTCGAATAACTTGCTTGTAGTTTTTGTATCACATTAAAAAATAGAGAAAAAGTGACTGGTAGGATTGTGTCCAGAAAGTTGTCGAAAATATTTGTAAGTAAAATACAAGTAATATTATGCAAGCTGTGTTATACAGATATTCATTTATTTTAGTCACCGTAAATTTTAGGTTATTATTGGAATGTACTGTTTATTTGAAAATTTGGTGCGGTTAAACTTAAAATCTGTTGATTTTATTATTATAAATAACAAATTTTTGACAACACGTGAAATATTGTCGTAAATTATTTTCATCGGTAACCTTATAATTATGTGTAATAATACTAGAATTATTTACCAGATGTTTATTTGTTCTTGTATTGCTGTCTCGACAGTTAATGTAATCTATAAAAGTGTAATTACATTTTGGAACCGTTTTATATCATTGTACATTTATTACACCATGATTGCAATGACTCAAAAAATCTTGTTATTAGTATAATTCTATCTATTAAGTGTGTACCTATAATGTACACAGTGTTTGTTGTAACAATCATCACAATTTCTTAAACACTACCAATAATCTGATAAAAGAAGTTCAAAAATTAGTGAGCACTCAATTGACAATAACTGTCAATAATATTTTTAAATTGCTAAAACACCTTTTCTTCAATAAAAAATCAGGATCACCTTCATTTTTTCTATCCAGTATTGTGAGTAATATTGAGGTGAATTCAGCAATATCAGAAGCAGTTGCTTTTCTTCAATATTTTGCTTAGAAAATTATTCTTAAGTGTAATAATGTTCTTCATTCACATGTTAGTTAAACATTAATGTAATTAAATGATACTGAAACAAATCAAATTTTTACAAGGTAATTTAATACAAGGTAACTTTTTTTCCTCCACAAAAATTAGATTTTTAGCACTTATAATGTTTTCTACAAGTATATATTTTTCAATTATGTTTAAAAGCATGTAAATTATGTTAGTATACCAGAAGATTTATAATAATATGTTGTACATAATACACAACATGAAAAAGAAAATACAAATTATGTACTCAAGTGAACAGAACTCGAATTTTTTTCATCTAACAGTAACAATAAATAATAAGAAGTGACAATTCATGTACCACATAGTTATCTACTATAATGAATCGATCTGTCATTTAAAAATGAACTTATGTGATATATGACAACCAGCCCTGGTCTTCCCTATATCTTTTATAGATATCAAGGTAACAAAAGACATTAAAGTTGTCTGTTTGTAGTCGATCATCTAGGTGGGTTCAGCAAAATTAAGTGCTTGTACGAATTTATTGAAATGTATAAAATTGGATAATATTTTTGGTCTTATTATAACATTAACAATATAATTACAATGATGTTAATGATAAAATTATACAATTTGATGTGTTTCAGGAATAACTGTTTTTTAGTTGATATATTTGGACATAACATATTCAGTATTTCTGAATATTAAGAAATGGCCAAGTGGGGTGAAGGAGATCCAAGGTGGATTGTCGAAGAAAGGCCCGATGCTACTAACGTCAACAATTGGCATTGGTATGTTTATCATATGTATATTTTAACAATGTAATATATTTGAGTATAACTATATAACGCACATATTTGGTATCCTAGATAAATGTATTCATAATAATATTGAATCGCAAACTGTAAAATCCACATGTAGAGAAATATTGTATACAGAGTGTCTCAGCTAACTTGATCACTTCGAATAATGACTTCACGGTACACTTTATGAAAATTTTGAGGCGCGGAACTTAAATGTATCATTGTATAAGGTACGTGCTTTTTTTGTGAGTGGAGGCATTTCAGAGATTTTATGGTTTTGAAATTAAGGCATTCAGAGATTTTTATAAATATCTCGTTAACTATTAGGTTTAGGACGTTTGAAGGTCAACATATTTTTACTCAGAATTGGATACTCTATCGATCTATGGTACAAAAAATAGGTCATTGCGTTAAAAAAAATTAAGGTGACCTTGAAATTTCTGAAATGCCTTCATCCATGAAAAAAGCACGTATCTTATAAGATGTGCCCCTTGATGCCATTTAAGTTCCGCGCCTCAAAATTTTCATAAAGTGTTCCGTTAAATCATTATTCGAAGTGATCAATTTAGCTGAGACACCCAATAGATAACATGGGGTCTGATACATAAGTATCAATAAGTATTTAATATATAAATGCGTATTTTATGCGTTTATGGCATACCGGGTGTCTATAACTCGTGAGGCGTTCCTTGCGAAGTGTATACGTGCGTCGCATTCATGCTGCCTAGCGGCGATCCAACGGTTGTCGGTTTTTTGACGCGATCAAAGGTGCCTCGCAGTTTGGTCCTCGCTTCGTTTGGACGCATATTATTACGCGATGCTCGAAAGAAGCACAGGACCAGTACAAAACGGTCGATGTTCGAACGTCCCGCTGACGTATAAGTTAAAACCTTAATTTTAATTTTATACCTTCTACACCGTTCAGCAATCACGATCTTTAGAAATATTATATACAAATTGTTTTTAGACGTCTAAAAAAAGAGCCCAATGTGAAACATTACTCTTTTAATTTGTAATACTCCCATTAATAGAACAATTTTACTTCTTAAATTTAACAGAAGCATTGCGTTTTATATAAGCCTAGGTTAACATGTACTTCTCATTTGTTTATAAAAGAAAACTAGTTTTTAAAAAATGTTCAAATTAGCGACGTTGTTTTATTAACCCTTATGCCAATAACCGAATACAGCAGTACCCATTTTCACTTTCTTGCTAAAAATTGTTATGTTCTCGTACAAACATTTTTCCAGCCGTCCAGATGCTCATTATTTAGACCTCATATTATCGGTTTCTGTCCTTATGATTTTATTTTTTCCCTGCGCTTTTTTATTTCGGCTGGCGGTGAACCTGGTGTTCGTTGAGGTCTAAACGGAGCACCTGCTGCTGAGCTTGTAAAATCGACGGCTCTACCAAGAACACTTTCGATGGCAAATCTAGTAGAAAAATGCCTCACAACTTGTACATTTTGAGCTCTGTCTTCTATTATTTTACGCTAATGTTGCGCTCGCTCACATGCGAGATAAAGAAACTTAAGAATTAAGGATTCTCCTCGAAGGCACAGACCTGAGAAAATTTGAATACTTACCACAGTTCTATGTTCTACAGCTGTCCTGCGTCGAATTTAAAACCGCGATAGCACAATCGAGCTTGAGAAAGTAAACAAACGACCATGCGCCTTTATTTCAAAGGTCCTTTCCAGCTACACTGTCAAGTTCTATGTACCTAAAACTATGTCTCTTGACACTTTTTTGTGCTGCAACCATCGAGTATAATCACAGAAAAATGAATCACCACTCCTAAACAGCCTTAAATACATGATTTCACTATGTGGGTACAGCTGTACCCCGGTTATTGAACAACGTAGATAAAATTGGTTATTGACATAAGGGTTAATTGAACGTTCATTAACTAATTAACTAATATTTTTGTTAAGGACGGAAAAGAATGCCTGTGCCTGGTCCCAGGAGAAATTAAAAGAGTTATTTACCAACATGAAGATAGAAGGAGATGAAGGTTTATATTTTATACTATAACTTTTGATTCTTTGGTCTATAAATAATTTAAGGACTAATATAATATGCTAATTACTTTTATCATCTTAAAAGCCATTGTACTTTTGAAGGATATATCATTTTAAGATATGTAATTGAACATAAAAAGTAAATATTAACTTTAGTACTTATGCAATCAATAACACTTTGCGGTTCACCAACGGCATCGTAGTCGTCGCGCCAATTTTGACGATGAGATCCATCGACGGTACAGAGTTGTATTTTTTACAAAATTTTTGTACGATAATAAATATATAATAAAAAATATAAAATAATATAAACATTATACTTTATTTTATTATATATAAATCTGAAGAAGTGATTTTAGTTGTTTGAAATTTTCAATATACTTATGTTTGACATTTTTTATTTAAAAAAAAACTGCCATCTTGAACTACCTGAGAGAGTAAAATCAAATACAAACGTTAAAACTTATTGTGTCTGTCAGTAAGAAGAATTTATGAAATTTACGATTTAAAAAAATCGAAATACTTTAATGTAATAACAGGCGATTTTATATCATCATTCATTACAGCCCACAATTTCTTTGAATCAGATGGTGCTTGACCTTAATGTAGACCGTGGACCGCAAAGTCTTAATACATTTCATACTGTATGATTCGTACTATTGTACATGGCTAGCAATAATACGAAATACCATAATAAATATTCTAAACAATTAAATTGTTTCTATATCCTGTAACTGTACAGGGTATCATGTAACACGTGGTACAACCTGGTAGAGATTGATTTTACATGAAAAAATGTGTCGAATATATAGAACAAAATTTTTTCATTTGCGACTCTGTTTTCGAGTAGTTCGACTTTGAAAATGTGCTGGACACGCGTGCAATTGAATAAGACTTGGTTAGCGCGTCTGTTCATTACATTCTGTTTCTACTTACTGCCAGAATGAATACACGCGTTTGAGATTAATTTTCAAAATCAATTTTTTTTTAAAGAGAAAATCCCGAGGTGTGAGGGGCGATTTTATGTTCACCTAATAAAAATATATAATGTCCCAAATAAACAAAATACAGTATTCCAAATTAAAAACATTTATTGCAAATAAATAGTTTTATGAATGATTTCTTTCAAGACTACAGAACTTATTTCAGAATGACTTTCACTTTGACAATCATTAAAATCCTGACAGATAACACTTTTTTTACTGTGTCTCTCACATACATATGTTACATAAACCACATATAAGGGTTGCCTTGGTTAGTTTATTATATCTTTCATGTAAAATGCAGCATCGGCAACTATTTTTAATATTTTTCAAACTTTTTAAGTCTTTAATATGTAAATTCTCAAAATAATGATGTAGTAGGCATAAAGCAACCCCTCATTATTACGAGGGTTAAGTTAAATGTAAAATTAACATGTTTCAGAAGTGTTACTTTTGTATATAAAATGTAATCATGTTCTTTTTAGTTTCATGTACAGTAACAGAAGTAGAAAAATGTGAGGGTGAGGCAACGGCAAATAATAGGAAAGGTAAATTAATTTTCTTCTATGAATGGAATATTATATTAAAATGGATATTCAATGGAAAATCCGATAAGAAGATTGAGGGTAAAATAAACATTCCAAATATGTCTGAGGAGAATGATATTTCTGAAGTAGATGTAAGTAAAACATATTAACAAGATATAATAGTTATTATTTACAGGGATAAATAGTTATTTCGTAAAGAATTAATTACTTAACATTTTAAAAGTTTGATACATTATAGAAATCTGAGTTTATCATTAGATTTATCAATAAAATAATAAAAACATCTTGTATTGCAGATTGAAATTACATTAAAAGATAGTACGGATGAGGGTGAAATGGTAAAGCATTTTTTACATACAAAAGGCAAGAATATTGTTAGAGAAAAACTCAAACAATATGTCTCATCTTTAAAAGAAGGTAAGATGTTATTAATAATTTTATTTTCTAAGTTCAAATATTCAGAATAATGAAAAATGATGCCATTGGAGCTTATTTTTTATTCTTCCTTTTAAATGTTTGGAGTACAATTATTTTGTATTTAAGTTTTGCCTATATCATTTATAAACTATATAAATTCCATAGAAACTGTAGTGAAGTTTTTTTACCATGAGGGTTCGTAACTTGTGAAATTATACTTGTGTAGTTACCATCGCGAAAGGATCTTTAATTGTGTTTTAATTTTAATGTTATGCCATTTAATACTGTTTCTCTATTATATACGTGTTATATTAATTAACGTGTTTTTTTTTTCTAGAATTCACAGTCGGAATGATTCTACCCAAAAAAGATAATCTAAAAGAAAATATTTCAAATATAACTTCTGGATTCAATGCAAAAGTAAGTATAAAAAGAAATAATATAGAACGATTATAAAGTTTTGTACGAATACTGCGAGGTATTATTATATTTAAGTCCACAAGATTTAACCGGTTAAGGAAATTACCTCACAGTTTTGATTTTGTAATGTGCGCTGATCGGGCATGAGACATCTGTATACACTTCAGGAAGGATTAGTCCGGCAGCCAGTGACACATATTTTTGGCCAATATGCTCATAGTTGGTTTATCTTTTATTCGGCTACATTTGTGCTACACATCCAGGTTATCCATATTTTATATTTGGGTATATAGTTTTCATATACAAAAAAATGGATTAACATTTGACCAGAAAAATGAACAAAAAGTACAATTTTTTAAATGTATTATTGAAACAAATAGATTATTCTGGAATCCAATCAAATAGTTGGATTCCTTATAAAAAAAACACAAGATATTTCAATTTGTACCGTTTTGATATCTCTAATAGTTTCCGAGATTTTCGACCGAATACAGTTCACACCCCTAACTTTGAAGGCTGTTTTCACTCCTCCAATATGGATAAGAGCAACTAAAAAAAAACGTGTGAAATATTTTTATGAAAACTACAATCTCACAAAGTTTCATCAGAATCGCCGATTTTTAATTCGGGATGTTCCCTTGTAAGTGACATGGCACTGGCGGTTATCGACCGAGACCGTGTATGAATGATTGGCGCGCATTTGCAGTAGAATAACTCATCGCGGTAAACGCATTTCACCCACATTTTCGACAATTAATAACTCGGACACGAAATCTTTAATTTAATTTCATTATTCTAGAAGTCTATATCACTATTTCGAAGTCTCATAATAAATGAAATTTCAATCATTTTTACTTCATTTTAGGGTATTTTAATAGATTGGTAATATCTTTTCTGTAAAAATGACAATCGGTATTCGTCGCCAAACATTACCTATGTTGCTATTGTGACCCTTCGGAAGTACAAACTGCTAGACTCAAGTTTTTGAACTTCCGTGGACATTATTGTACTGTGTAAACATCGTAAGTTGCCGAATACCTACAACTGAACGGCTCTCTCTTTCTCTCCCCTTCCTCACACTCCCTCCCTCCCCTTTATCTCTCTCTCCCTCCCTCGCTCGCTCATTAAATAACCAGCTCATTAACTAGTTAACTAATTCTATCTCAATGTGTTTCCTTTACGTTCTTCGTCGCACAATCAACATATGGGTTTAATCGATTTAACCAATAATGTCAATTCGTGTGACTGGAGGAGTTAATTTGATCCGTCGGTAACTTAAGATCTCTGCATAGTACATTGATTTGAATTTAAGTGTCGAATAGAAATTGCTTACATTTCTTCTATTTTTATGATTTATTAATTAAGAATTGTTTAATTAATTGTTGAAGATGCAAATGAATTCCACAGTGGTGCCGTCAAGTAATAGGAAAGAATTAGGATGCAAAATATCGACGACGACCATCAAGCAGCAACAGAAATTGCAGTGTAGAGCGGAGGAATTTTATAATGTTTTTACGACAATTGAGGTAATGTGACTATTACTATTAAAACATACATATATATGTAATATTAAGATTGACTCCTGATCGCGCCATCCGAAATTTTTTTGTTATAAACAAATTATATTTTAGACAATTTGTTAGCACCATATTATTCTACATAAAAAACCGCAAACCTCGTCCATTAGAAGTTTTCATATATCTCCTCTGGTTTTCGAGATAGTACTTTCGGGTCGAAACTTCAAGGAGTGGTTTCACCCCCTAAAGTCGCGTCTAAGCCGATAAAAAAAAATACGTATCCCTCATTTTTGACTGCTTAACAGACATACGAAATTTCATCAAAAACGGAGGGGGACATTTCCGTGCCTTCCCTTATGAGATAATGATGAAAGCTGTGGAAATTTCTGATGCCAATGATTGGTAATGCTGTTGCAAAGCGAACTTGTCAACTAACAGCATGTCCTTTATATTCATCACTACGTAATATAACTTACGGTCTCAAATACAAAAAATGTAAAGTGATCGATTTAGCGTGGAATGATCTTATCCTGCTTTAGTTCATATAATCCACTAAAACAAGTTTTGAACCTATCGTTCGGTCACGTGAAAAATTTACTATTTATTATTCGTATTTATTTCGCACTCAAAATTCGTCTGCTACAAATTTCATTTCATTATTGTGCTAATAATTAAAACTGAAAAAGATGTAGCAGATCTTTTAGCTATTCGAAGATGTGGGCATACTGTAAGGCATTTCGTTCGAGAAAATTATGAATATAGGCGTTTTGCTCAGAGTTATTGTAGGTAAACACTTTTCAATCCACCGCAAAATGGATCAATAAGAAATTCGATTACACGACGAGGTCCACTTTTAACGTGATTCAATGAGAATTTTATTTAATGTATATACAAAATTATTATAAACACATAATTTAAGGCAATTGCTATTTTCTGGTAAAGAATGTAGTTCTAGTTGAATAATTTTTCTTTACAGATGGTTCAAGCATTCACGAAAGGACCAGTAAAACTGGAGCCAAAGAGAGGTGGGAAGTTTGAGTTATTTGGTGGTAACATACACGGTGACTTTGTGGAAATTACACCCACAAGAATCGTTCAAAGATGGCGTTGTAAACAGTGGCCCGATGAACACTTTAGTGATGTCACTATTGATATCTCGGAAAAAAATGATCATACCGAAGTTACTTTAACGCAAATAGGTGTACCACTTAGGTAATGCGGTCAAAACATTTATCTTTTATTATACTTTCATAAATAATTTTGTCGAATATTATAACATCCTGCAACACAGACGAGATATAAGAGTGCACATATCTATTACCTTATGAGACTTAAAACAAAGGTCATTGCAGTGGGGTCACCAATTTCAGTAAAACTTTTTATGGTGAATCTACAGGGAAAATCAATAGACCCATATCCGAGTATTTGTGAGAATGTGCATTTTTTTTACAAAATATTTAATAGTAAAGCATTGGATATATCCATGATGTGCTTCTATTCTAAACTTTAATTTTCGAAGATCAAGGTCATTTCAAGGTCATGTTATTATACATATCTGAATGTATTTTTTGATCGGCTACACAATGCAATAAAAAAACATGTAGTTATTTGTCAAAAAATACCGATGACCTTGATAACTCTGAAAAAAGATGAAACATAAAATACAAAGGAATCATAATTTGAAGTATTCATTCACAATACGTTTTCATAAAGCTATAAAAGAACTAATTAATATTTTCATTGGAAGATTTATTTCTTTAATAAAATGTACTAAAGTGTATATTTTCTTTGCAGCGAAGAAAATTCAACAAAGGAGAATTGGGAAAGATATTACTGGGATGCTATAAAACGTACATTTGGATTTGGCTATTTTATGTGATCTATGTATATTTTAAACTTCGCTTGCGTATTGATAAGTAGAAAAATGATTGAAACGTGTATTATCGTACATCGCCTCGCGTATCTTATACGAATTAGCCACATGATAATCACCCTCATACAAATGGAGTTTCCTTTGAATGCTGATTACTGGAATTTTTGTTTTCCCTTTCTTCAACCTCTTCTATTTACTACACTGCATCATATGAGCAGGACACATCATGTCATTGTTTACAGTTGAAGTATCGCAAAAGTGACATGCCTGTATTAATAGTTGTATATGTCAAATAAATCATGTCCGATACTCATGTCCTGTTTCTTTCGTTGTTATTAGATCTTTAGTTTTCACATAATTTTATTGTTTCCATATTACAACTGCAGATGTTATGTATTTATGTGTGAGTGTGTAAATATCGTTGAAATAAAACCCTTAACTATAATTACTGAGACTTCTATTTTAGTAGCAACCTAATAAAATCTATAATAGAGAAAACAAACTGCACTTCAATTGTTGCTCTTCTAAATAAGTATAAAACTACAGATTTGCATAAACATCTGCAGTCTACTAAACACCTTTCTTGTCTATAAATTATTGTAATTTTATGTACATTACAAAATATTTATAATTTACTGCAATTCTTTATACTACTTTTACAGTACTTTATGTACAGGGTCTTGTAAGTGTGACGTACACGGTCAGGTAATGGGTTGTTGGGTGTGGAGCGAGCGCGCACGGGCACTGATGCCAGAATCGTGGGATTTCCGCGCGAGCGTTTACCCTCTCCATGCCTCCCGTGGGTATTCTACACAAGCATATTCTATGTTCTAGCCTGCCGTGAACTCTGCCTGGCTCTGCCCCACTACGTCCTACACGTCCTACTCGGCGACTCCCTAACCAAGCGTTAAGGGAGTCGCCGACGCATGATCTATCTACGCGAGACAAAACCCCTAGACCTCTATAAAACTTCGAGGATTTAGTTCATGGATAGCCCCGGCGGGGCTGCCCCGCGCCATCTTCACTATAGTGCTATAGTAGGTGACGACGTAGGTCACAGCGAGGGAAGCCGTTTTGTCCCACGTCCCACGATTCTGCCATAATCATTCTGGCATCACGGTGATGCCAGATGCCATCACCGTGTATCACCGTTCCCCACCGCTCGGCTGTTCAGTTGTGCGACGCAGCTACCTAAAGGTGAGCTGGATGTGCGCACTTTTTGATTATCTTAATTATCCTAATTATCTCCGTTATTTTTAGAAATATCGAAAAAGTTTATTCACACAAGTTGTTTAGTATGGAAGGGGCTATTGTATAACAGTAACAGTTTCTTTGTAAGTGGAGCATCTTCTGAAATTTGAAGGTTAATTATGTTTTCTTTTTAATGATACTGCAATATTATGGAATAAAAATATTGTTTTTACGTAAATGAATTCTTCTAAACATTCTTCGTAATAAAATATTTAGGTACTATGTAAAAAAAGTTAATAATTCGTGTGATATTTTATATACAAAATCTGAAATACATATGTCACAAATTGTGAATTGTTTCTCGACCTATAAAAAAATTATTTCTACTATGTTATGGTCCCTCTGGTACCATATAACTTTTGTGAATAACTTTTTTTTACATTTGTAAAAGTAATGGAGATATTGAAGTTAACAAAGTTATTGGACCATTTATTATAATATACATATGATTGAACAGTAGTTTCATTTATACTTCTTTATTGAAAACAATCTAATCAATAATATGAATACAATTGTGACGTATAAAATGATCAAAGTTACTGGACTATTTGTTATAATGTATATATGATTGAACAGTAGTTTCATTCATTCTTCTTTATTGAAAACAATGTAATCGATAATATAAATAAAATTGTGACATACAAACCGATTAACAACTAAATTTGCTTAATTATCTTATTTATGTATAAAAGTGTATGGGTTACTGGTTACAACAAAATACAGTAAGGAGCAAAAGTGAACCAATGTGACTCTTTTTTCAGGAAAATATTATTTATTTAAATGCTACTAATATGGTGTACCAGAAAAGCTCAACCTGTATATTATTGTACACCTATTTCTGTTTAATAGACAATTAATATGTTAACTTCATTACATTGAGTTTGTTAGGTATAATATTTTACTTCTGTCTCATAATCAGTCATCTTGACGTACTCATTTCTAAATTTTCATAATATCTGTGAGATATTCAGAACTATTGTTCTATGATTTTATCATTGAGATACTTCTGTTAATATATTTTATATAGACCTACACTTCTGTGTGAACGATAATTTCTCGGATGAAGTAAAACATTTCATATTTGCCAGCAATGTTCATACAGTTATCCGCGAAATTATTGTTCAAACGGACCTATTAAATATGTCGTTGAATTGGTCTTTACAACAATGTACTTTAAAACAAACAACTTTCGTATGAAACATTTTTTCGTATTTTAAACATTTAAAGAAATAATAGCGTGTACATTTAAACCGGACATACTGTACGTTCGCTACACCGTACATATTCCGTCCTGGGCATGCTGGCCGGCAGAGTGAGATACGCGCACGTGGCTAAGAAATGTATGTGAGCGAGGGGCGTTCCTAAGATACATCTATTGAGCTCGCATTGTACTGTATTTCAAATGGGGAACAGTAAACAAAATTTCATTTAATTAGACCGTTCAACAAATTTAAACTTTTTTTCGTTTCTGTAACCTCCAATAGGCGTTCCTGATAGATTTTTATGAGCTGAATACGAATATGCAAACCGTTTTTTTTCAGCGCGTCCAGTTTTGAAAAAAACCAATTCCTTTTTAAATTGCAAATTTGAAACTTTGGAGCGGTGTTGTGCTTTTACAGTAATAGTTATTCAGATTCTTTTGACATGAAATAATTCTTTCGACTCTTCCGAACAAAATAATATAAATTGTTATTGTATTATAGACATCTAAATATGTTTAAATAATGTTCAAAGGACACCGAAAACGCACCAATTTTTTCCAACAACCAAGAGTTTAGAAGGAAATCTAACCATAGCACGCGATAGAGCAGACTTTTCTACCGAGGAAGGTGTCAAGGAAAATTACACTATCTGTTTTGTTTTAAATAAAGAAGCGAAATAGTTCAACCTGACATTCTTCAATTTATTCCAACAACCAAGAGTTTAGAAGGAAATCTAACCATAGCACGCGATAGAGCAGACTTCTACTGAGGAAGGTGTCAAGGAAAATTACACTATCTGTTTTGTTTTAAATAAAGAAGCGAAATAGTTCAGCAAAACACGTACATCTTCTATTCATTTTTCAATATAAAGACATTCATAATATGAAAATTTATAACATCATTTATTGTTGCAAAACATCGCATACATGTATTTATATAAGTGTGTCTGATTGTTTATTGTATATTCTGAAAATATTAACTTACAATGTCTTCATCATACACAACGCCAACTTGCTTTCGAATCTCGTCCTCTAACTGTGCAATTAACAAAGAAGCCACATGTGGTATCTTGGAACTTTCGGTCATACCTAAAATGTAGAATAACAATAGTTAGTAACCATACTGCTATCAGTATTTTTATCATTTATAGCCTTTTAATTATTGTGGTAAAGAACGGTGAAAATATAGTTTAGTGAAAGCAATGTTTGTATGACTAAACTAATACTTAATACTAAGCCAGTGTAAAAAATTATAATTCTTATAACATGGACTTCGTGTATTTGTATTATACAGTAAATTTTTTATTAATGCTCAAAACTCGGAACTGTTTTGGAGTAATTATCGTAGAGAGGCATGGTTCCCGTTCACCACAAATCTCGGGCCAAACCTGAGCAGCTCGCCTTCGTATATTGCCGGCAACGACGGTCCAGATAGCCGACAAAGATGCCTGCGTATCGGTAAGGCAAGACTAATGTAACGATAAAACCTTTTTATTTCTGGTTATTCGTAAAATTAAAATTGGATTAACATATTGGTGAAATTTTTCTGATTAAAACGATACCAAGCATGATATAATTTGGATATTTTTTTTTTCATATGTTTATATGTTAATAAAATTTTCATTAAAAAGGATTAAACAAAAAAAAAATCAATCGTTACATTAGTGTTGTCTCGTCGATACGCAGATATTTACATCCTTGGTCGTCTGCCTCGACACTCGATCCCTCTTTCTTTTTCAGTCGCTATCCTTTTCTACAAATCGCAACGCTGATTGGTCGAGGTTTTTTGTTAATATCTCATTAACAAAGCCTCGGATAACATTTTTGCTAAGAAGAAATTTGTTCCGAATCACTTTACGAGTGACCCATTTCAGGGACCTATAACACTTTTGTTACATCCTGTAAAGTATTCAACCTAGAGCAGACCGATTTTTGCAACTCATTTATTCGGCAGCTTGCCTTTGTATTTTCCCGTCCAACGATTATCATAGAATGGGTCAGAGAATGAAACTGAAAAACTGCTCGAGGATCGAGGCACCAAAAAGGAACAAAACTGTGCACTACGAGAAAGTGTATTAACAATGAAAACTTAAAGTTTTCTATTTTCTATTTCAGTGTTATAAAAATATTTTTATATTATTGATACGACTTTTCTGACTAACCCGATCACATGTTCATGCGTGTTTGTCAGTTCGCAAATTCAAGATTTCTTCAAATCTCAATAGAGTACGTGAAACTCTGTTTGATTCTAGTTTTTGTAAACTAATCTATAAAAATCTATATTTGCATAAACACGCAAGGTGTTAACAACAATGTGGGGCACTTTCGCAGGGTGGATTCTACATGCCAAACTAACAAAGGGAATGCCAAGGTGTGGAAATTGCGTTTGAAACAACACTAGTTACATACAAGTTCTAGTACACAAATAGTGTTACAAAATCCTAATTGGGCCTTCGTTGTTGAGATGTTCTGGTTTCAAATCTTGTACGCACCTAGTAGTTCATTTATATAAAGGAATAGAGTAATCGGTTACAACGCTGTGTGTCCTGGGTTCGAATCCGATATAGGTGGGTGAGTTACAACTTTTTTTTTTCTCTTTAACCTTTTAACTTCCAGCGTTTCACCGATGCAACACTCATTTTTAAAAGTGGGAGTTTTCGATTGAGAAATTCATTTATTCCCTCCATAAATAAATAGTAAAAAAAGTAATTAAAAAAGTCCGTCGGTTTAATATCAATATTTTCGACATCAAAATAACAAGATACAACATACACATAACACGCATCATTTGAAATAACGATTTAAGGGTCTGGGCGTTAAAGGATTAAAAAGGTCTTTGCAGTGCAAATAATTTTTAAAAATACATAAATGCAAAAATACATTTTTAGTACACCTACTATAATACATTTTATTTGGCGCGTCTACAAGTGATTTTGTGTATTTGTACTGCAAAAATATTTTTCTATCTAGAGCTTTTATACTGAAAGTTACGACGTCTTGCGATTGTCGAACAGATTCGAAAGAGCAGCTAGATTAACGGTCATACCTGACGGTAAGGATAGTCTTATAGTCGTCTTCCAAACGACTTCTATTTTTGGTACTCAGTACGCATTGATTCATCGTGCACGTGACGTCAGAAAACATTATTTTGAAATACTAAAATGGATTGTGATCTGATAGCAGCAAGCTCCTCAAGCAAAAAAATGTCTGTGTCCAACGCGGATTCAAAAATGCGTATTTGGAGTGCGTGGATAATGTGCGAGAGCATGCTGAAGGAGAACAATTATATAAAAGAATCGTCGTCTATCGAAATTTCAACAATCGTCACAGAAATGGCGACTCAAATGTTTAATCGCATTGTCGCTATGGTACATGAAATGGAATTACTGGAAGATGAAAAACCTGTGATTTCAAACGACGACGTGGACGACGGTCTTGAAGTGCAGAAACAGTGTGGTTCTAATGAAGAAGAAAAAGATTTGTGGGAAGGCGATTTGACGGCCAGTCATCAGCAAGACTTTATAACATTAGAATATAAAAAGAAAGTTGTCGCAATGGCGAAAGCTCATCCTAAATGGTCTCTCGCAACACTACAAAAAAGAGGTGCTTCGTTATTGAAAAGGAAGGATCTTATAAAAACGTAAGCTTAATTGTAGATTTATTATACAGGGTGGGTCGGAAATCGTAGTACGTACAACCGGAAAAGGTGTTATTCTACGTGAAAAAATGTGGAACAAATTTTTATATAAAATTTTTTCGTCCCAGGCTTCGTCTTCGAGAAAATCGAATTTCAGGATTGGTCAGATCCATGTACGATTGACTATGACTTGGCCATCCTGTCATTCCGTTACTGATTGCCTCTGTTTGTGTTGGTGTTTATAAACAGTGACAGTGATATAGTTCAAATGATACAACCGGTTTCTATAGATTATTTGTTTTCTTTATTGTGTTACAAGTACTGTTGAAAATTTCCTGTACCCCGTTCAGGCTTTTCTTGTACATCAAGCAGAACTCTGTATGCGAAAAGAGGGGATTGGTCATTTTGAGCAATACTTGTAACACGATGAAAAAATGAATAATCTGCAAAAACCTGTTGTATTATTTGGACCGTATCATTGGCGATGTTTATAAACATTAACAGAAACAGAGGTAATCAATGTCAATTATGAGTAATGGCATGATATACAAGTTGTACTGTATTGTATAAAACCATACGTGTATTGGAGCAATTTTCAAACTCGGTTTTCTCGAAAAGAAAGACTCGAACGAAAAATTGTGTACCCATGTAATTTTGTTCTTACTTTGTAAAGGTCGCTTTTTGCGTCTTTTTTATCCTAGATTGTAATGAAAATTTAACAAATATATTGCTTAGATTTATATTAATGTATGCTGAAAATTTCATCGAAATCGGTTAACGTTGTTATGAGATACAAACAGTTAAAAATGTTGAAAATCGCAGTTTTTCGGGACTTTTGACCTACAACTGTAATATATCTAAAGATTCTTACATCTTTCGATGCCTGTTATGATGTTCTGTATTAATCGATTTCAATAAAAGTTGCAGCATGTATATAACTGTTATAAATCTTCGAAATGTATTTATTAAATTTTCATTACAGTCTCAGATAAAAAAAGTTGTAGAAAACGACATTTACTGTTTTCTTTGACATTCTGAAAAATTGCAAATTTAAAAAAATTTTGTTAAAACATCATTTAGTAAACTAATCCTTCCAACTTCACAAAGAAACTCAAGTCACTTGGTCGAATTTTGAAAGAGTTCTGTTTTAAAGGGTGTACGAATAATTTTTTGACCTACTGTATATTGTTCATTATTCGATTTACTTTCTAGTTGGGAAGCAACAATTGCTGCTGGCGGAACTATATTTGATAAATATGAAGCAATAAATAGCATGACTTTCAAGAGATTTGAGGAAGCAAAAAATAACTTGGAGCAGGTCACTACCTCGACACTGCAACAATGGGCCTTGAATTATGCACGCGAATTGAAATTCGAAAAATTCGTGGCAAGTAAACGCTGGGCGACTAGATTTAAGCACAAACATGGTATAGAGCAACATAAAATTACAAAGTATGTTACCAAATGAGAGATAACCGTTATTGAAAATATTATTCAGGCAGTAATTCATTTTCAGTCGAAAGTTAGAACATTACATAATAATTACGCGGATGCCAATATCAATCAACAATAAACAGAACATTATCCGTTAAAGGCAGCAAATTAGTAAGAGTAAAAGCAAGCAGTTTGTATAGATTATTTTACTCGTATACGGCTCAATACACTATAACTGTGTCGCGCAAATTTTTACCACGTGTGTTTATATGCCTGCAAGAAACGGCAAATAAATTTCGACCACAAATACAAAAGCAAATTGATTGCTTCAAAAAATTGTATAAAAATATCGTTGTCACTTGTAACACATCAGAAAAATTAACGAAATATTTACATGCGGAATAGTTAACAAATGTTTCAAAACCTTATGTCGAATGTAACAAATTGTTATTTGTAGATTCTTGCAAAAAGCAGACGGGTGATATCTACGACACATGGTATATTCATGGAAAGCAATGCTGATGGAACTCGCAAGCTTGTGGTAATACCTTCCAAGTATATCCGGTTGGTGCAGCCCTGCGACGTATATTTCTACCGTCAAATCACACGTATGAGTGGTTTGCTGCGAGATTAATGCTAAACAACGAGAAGCCAGAATTTGAAAATGTAAATAAACTTAAATCAAGTATGCCTTAACATATTGTAAATGTAAAAAATGTAGCATTATTAAATGCGTGTGATGTATAGATACGTTACATATGTTTCCATTGTTTTTACAATTTGTATCACTCTAAATTTTGTATAGAATTTATAAAACAGACGAATGTAAAATAAATAATAATACTACAGGAATAAACTCTTTATACTAAATGGTATAGCAGGATAAGGGGATCGAAAGTACCTTTAGACCGATTTGCACTTGTGATATTCCATTTGATAGCTTCTCAAGGAAAAACAATCTGTGCCAAGTTTTGACCCTCTACATATCTCGATCAGGAGTGTAGTAATAGGGAAAATTCGGATTGTCGGTTTTTCCTCTAATTTCACCGTTTAATGACGTGCAAAAATTCTGCAAAAACTGGTAGCATTTATAGGGGCACATGTGAGAGAATTTGTTGTGATTTTTTAGTTTAGTATCGTAGTTGTGAAAAATCGAAAACTCTATAAAATAAAGAAAAATATTTTTTTCTTGTTGAAGGTGTAACAGCACCATGTTATTTATCCTTTCAGAGTAGCAACATATTATCATAAGTACTGTCCTTAATTTTTTGGTAGGGTGCGCCGTAGTTTAAAACATTAAAAACTGATTTTTTCAGTGAAAAAGTAACTTATGTTTCATTAAATTGTATGCAAATCCTCCTTTGGAGGAATGAATAGAGTATTTGAAGTAATTAAAGTAGTGGCATTAATCTTGCAGTAAGTATCGAAGGGCTGAGTTATTCATAAAACTTGTATTATTATATTAATGTAACCATCTTACCCAATAGTCGAGTAAGATGGCAAATTTCCTCACAAATTAGTTTTTAATTTTATACCAAAGATAACTAAAAAAGTTTCTTTTTTGTGTATTGTTAAATATTATTTTATTTGTGTAAGGAATGAAAAGGTTACGCTTATTTTCGCTTAATATCACTATCTTATCCCGATCTCCCCTAAGTACAGTAATGGCTCCATGAGAGATAGATGGGAAGTTCCTCGTAAGAGGAATCATTCCCACCACTGGGGGAGGAGGCCATGGAACCTGTCAAGCGCATAATTTAGTGTCGCCCTGCTTTTGTTGCCGAGGGTCGGTATTCTGGCAAAAAATAGATTTGTGAGGTGTTCAAACGACTCGCGGTGCACCGTGAAAGTTTTGAAGCGGTCCCGAGTTTGAAATTCTCATGGAGCCTCTACTGTACTTATAATGTTTTGTATAATACCTTTTAGAATGCATTCGCGAACTTCATTAGCCTCGTACATCAATCCAGCGCTATTGGTAAAATTGAATTTGTGGCGACCTTCCGGGAGTAACGTATTCACAGTCTCGCCATTCGGTAATATCACAGTTGTAGGACACCAAAACTGCGGCACTCTAATCGTTCCTTTGGTTCCAATAATATATGCCTCGTTCGGTAAGTCAACTACCGAATGAGTGATAATGGTTGCAGTACGATTTCCTTTGTAAAGAAAGTTCGCAGATACAGACATGTCAACACCATCTTCGTTCAAGCAACCAGAAGCTCGTACAGTATGAGGTACTTCGTTGTTAAATACGAAGCAAGCGAAATGTATTCCGTATACACCCAGATCCAGTACTGTGCCGCCTCCCAATTTCTTGACGCTGAACAGAAAAAATACTTTTTTAATATTGTAGAGAATAAGGGTCAGCAATAAGTGAGTGTTATAAAACAATAACAATGTTTATTAAGAGTAAGTAATAAAATACGAAAACTAGTTAAGTGTTCACTGATCTCTAATACGTTGTGTTTCACAGTTTCTCGTTCTCTGTCGCTCCTCATTCACGAACCCTAAAATTACGTTTCCCGTGGAGCTAACCGTAACAGAATAAATATACAACAAATTTCATTAACGTACTTAAGTCTTTCAATGTCCGTCAACTTGAATCCGAAAGAGACAACAACTTGATAAATTTCTCCAATACTTCCAGACTCAATCTCTTTCTTAATAGTTTCGTATGCAGGAAAACAGCGACTCCAGATTGCTTCCATCAAAAAGAGTTTTTTGCTTTTCGCCAGATTAATTAACTCTGTCGTTTGTTTCAAGTTCATAGTCAAAGGCTTTTCGCACAAAACATGTTTTCCGTTGTTTAACATTAACTTTGCAATTTCGAAATGCTGAGGGTTTAGCGTTCCAATATAAACGACATCTGTAAAAAAAATGAAAGGAATGAAACATTATGATGTTTCAATAATAATTGTGATAATGATAAAACAATAACAACGACAATAATACCAATTGCAATAATTTATTTTACGAGTAGAGCCGAAGATGTATCCTACAAGAGAAATTCACGTAGAAAAACAGAAGTGGAAAAGATTTGAAAAACGAAGAGGAAAATTAAGAACATTACAGTAATATAGGTACTCAAAATATAGGAAGAATATTTAGAATTTTACGTAAAACTCTTAAAAAATTCAATTCTAGTCAACACAAGAATTTGAGAGTTGAAACCGTTTTTGATGAACTTTTCATATGACTATTACAGATCTTACCATTTGGATATCGCCTAACAAAGATAGAAAATGTAAAGGTGCGTACTCGCCAAGCGAGCGAGCATACTCACTCGGAGCTCGTCAGCCCAAAACTTCCCGCGCATACAGGGGGCATGTAAGATTGCCTGTGTATACGAGGGCCCTTCTATACTAGCCAAATGAAATAACTTTCACTTATGTTTCATAAGATTACACGTTTTCTTAATATGTATACGAAATATCAACATGAAAAATCAAATAGGTAAAGACGAATGGATTCGTCTTGGATCGCCAAAAATCGCGGGAAGTGAAATTGTCGAACACGCCAGCGGCCCGTTTCGATACAATAAATGATATGTAAAACTCACCAATGTCTTTGTCCTCTGCTAACTTTGAATAATTGTCGTACGCTTTTTTAATCTTATGTAAATCAGCAAAAGTTTGAGCCCGCGACAGGTCCCTCGCTGCTACCGCAACAACTTCATGTTCAGACTTTGGTAATGCCCCTATAGCTGTTACGAAATCATGAGATATATTTCCAGCACTTGCTATACCCCAACGAGTAGCCATCTGTAATCAAACAATTTCATCAGTAAAAAATAATTTTAACATAGCGTTTATTTGTACCGTAAAAAATTAAAAATATTTTACGGTATAAATAAGCACTATGTTAAAATTATTTAATCTTTCTTGTAGAGTTTCTCGTCCCAAACACAACTCCGGAAGCAGAATTGCTCTCTCACCTTTAATTGTTGAAAAACATAGGTTTCTGTAAAAACGAAAAATATTGTACCTAAGGAACAAGGGACATCAAACTTTAGTTTTACAATTAGTTTATTGTTAAATGAATTCTTAAAAAGGTCGATTCTATAAATATCCCAATCAATGTTTTTATGAGCAAATACAGTTGTAAGAAGTAAATTACTGAATGATGTATAATTATGCAAGTTTCCATTTGTACAAATTAATTTATGTGTGAAGAATGAACAGAGAGCTATTTTCCTTATTATGGGACCTAATAAGTTGAAAAAAAGCTTTATTATACTTCAATAAAATTTTCCATTTTATAACTATTTAATTTATTAAGTACACATTTGTAATAAAATATTTTTTTTAATAATTTACCTAAAAGTTCCACATCATTGAAGAAGCAACTGATAAACATTATTTATGCATTTAAAAATAGTAATGAACAAAGTGCAATAAAATAAAAACTTAATGAAGTTTAGATGTGTTTTTATTCAATGGTACTATGCTTTTCATACATATAACATTTACGCGAATAATACTTTCATATAAAAACAAACGACGAAAGATGTATACTATTATTACATTAAATTTAATTAATTCTATGCGCATGTCCTTTCCACTTAACCAGCTATATGTATGATAACATACTGTATTGCTATTAAATAAAGTTTAATACAGCATTATATCAGCGTATTAAAAAAATAATTTAACTTACTTTGTTTGCAAAATATGCTATGATACACGAGTTCTTTTACTTATGTAAACGTTCTGATCTGCTTCTTGCGCACCAAACGACTGCAATAAAGATAACCTAATCTTTATAATACGTACTACTTAAAAACCAGATAAGACCATAACTGCGAAATGACGAATTTCGGTCTTGTTTGCGCATATTCCTCTCGGTTACCTTACTTACCAACGTCTTAAACAATTGAGCATAATTATGCCTCGTGTAGCATCATACATCGAGTGACTGTGAAGTACAAACGTGCCAATTCATAAGTATTCATATCTTGAGAAATACTTTATTACATCACCCGGTGTATGACAAATTCTATCATCCTTGTTACAGAAAGCGAGAAAGTGGGGGAACCAAGGGTTCGAGAGACCTCTCATGCTCATTCGAGATGCGCGAAACAGTTATGCTCTTATTTGGTTTTTAGAGTACATAATCTTGTCATTTGTACAACCTCTCTACACGTCAAACGATTGATAGTTTAATCAGAAGAATATTATCTTGTGAACTAGATCTGTAAGTTACTTACACACTTATACATATGCAGTCATAAAACGTTTACATAAGAAAGAAAATACATACATATAAAACGAATATACCGAAATGGACAATGACGATAAATTTTAAATATATTTGTTTATTATTATTTTATGCTATATTTCGATACATTACTTATTTTAATATAGTACATTAACCAGATTCTATTTAATATTTTTCAATTAGCTAGTAACATCACTTGATCAAAATGTTTGTAAATACTAAACGATACGTTAACCGACAGAAAGCTTTCCTAAGGCGTTCGAAAGAAATGTTTATGTTAGAACAGTGATACATTGTATGCGATGCGAACGAACAAGAATTGACATAACACTATATAAAGAGTTCCGAGGCCTGTCCCGACCTTGTAACATATTCTAAGTACAATTCTCGCAGTTCGATTAATCTGAAATGCATTTTGGGGTACGAATGAATATACTAACCAGTCTAGGAAAACAAATTAATTTTTTATCTGTAAATTATTTATTAGATCAATGCATAATTCGGTATACGGTTCATGTGATATCCCATTCACCGTAATTTGTATCCTGCCGACCGAAACCACTCCTTAAACATAAGTAAGACGAGGAGGAGCCGTAAAAGAGTACAACCGCAAGTGCAAAAAGGACAGACTTATGCGACAGTTTCGCACAGTCGAACAGAGTCGCCTTCTCTACGTTGCTGCTATAGTGGGGGAGATTATTTCGCCAATCGTTCAATGGGCGACGATGGCGCCACTGAACAATGACCAATAACGCTGGCTGTTGCCAGACTGGTGTCCAATTGTGTTTATTACTCATTTCACTCGCAATAAAATACATTGCTTTTACCCTCAAACGTTCAAACGTACAAATTTGGTTGCTTGTCAAATACTGAAGTTTCGTTGTTCCTACGGCTGTAGTGGAGACATTACATGCGTGCAACTTGTTTCTTATCGCCCAACAATCGCGTACTTCCCTCCCACTGCGATGTGCGAGGAAGAAAGTAATTACTCGAGCGCTACTTTTGTCCTTCGGTTTCGCTTCATCCCTACCATAAGACCGCGCAGTCTATTATATTATTATAAGTTATCTATGATTTATGTCCCAGTAGTGTTCGCCGTAGGCACCATCTATATCTGCCCACTTAACCTATGCAAAAATAATTGAGTGTTGAAAATTCTTCACATTTTAATGCATGTTACTAATTTGAAGAATTTAATATTTGTGGCGTCACCTTTCCTCGATGTCGGTTTTGTAGAAAATCTTTTTCTTCAAACCTTTGTTCCCATTGAATAGGATTTTCACAAACATAACCAAACTGCAATTTATTTTCCCCCTGTCGTTCCACGAAAATATCCCTAAATTTTTTAACACATATGTGAGCAGATGATAAACTTTTATCACTTACTTCCTAGAAATCATTTACTACACAATGTGACAGAAGGATCTTGCAGCCTGAATGGAATGTTTTGTCCCTCTTTTGTGTTTGAAAATTACATTGTGGATTTTACTGTTATACTCACTGAAAAAGTTGTTTTTTCATTGCAAACTCGCCAAGAATTTCCTTATCAGTCTTTTCTTGAAATTTATCACCCGCATCTGGAATATTTTTAGTATTTTTATTAAGAATGAATTAATCTGATTGCAGATACAACTTCTTAATAGTATTATAATAGGGGTCCCAGAACGTTTCTGCGTTTTATGAAGTTTGGAATTAATCAACTACTATTAGCGCGTCTATTGTTCGTGGGTGGCACCTATTGTGACACGAATTATGGGCGTATTTTATAGTTATATTTGTAAAAAACATTGCCTTTGCATCCGTAAAATAGAAATGGCAGAGGAATTCCTTTCAAAGCAATACAGGGTGTCAGCTAACTTGATCACCTCTAATAATGACTGACTTACGGGTACACTTTCTGAAAATTTTGAAGTGTGGAACTACATGAAACGCAAATAATTTCTCTTCACTTTGAGATAAATCAGACACAAAAATATCAATTATTATTCAATTGACAACGATTTAAATTTTGCTGACGATATTAGGTACTTTCACCCCATTTAAGTTAATTACTATATATTTAACTCTAAGCAGTCGTAAATTTTTATTTATAATTTTTCGTATTTGTCAAAAATAAACTATTTATCCGAAAAAATATCTATAACAAAAGAACTATGGGTGGAAAAGTAAATTAGTAAATTACCTGAAGTTAATTTTTGTATTTTTGTTCCAGCACTTGTAACAACAAAAAGGAACATAAAATATTCAAATACTTGAAACTTGAACATATTCTACTTTTATCTTATTGCAGGAATTGCATTAGAATAATGACAAATATAAGCGATCTAAAATTGTATACGAACAGTCACTGATAGAGTTTAGATTTAAACTGATCGGTTGATCGGTGAGTGCTTTGAATTCTCGACCGTAATGCTCTGATTACGTCGACAATCTTAAACGCTATAAAAATGGTAGCTGTCATTTCGTAGAAATTAGTTATGCTTTCACCGATTCTATACTTCTTATGCCTTAGTATTTGCTGTCATCGATTTTACTGCATCCATCAAAATATTACTATCGATTTTACTACTATTACTATTTAATATTAGAATTAATCCCGTAACTGCGAACGGTTTAGATAAGAATTAACATCAATTTTATATCTAAGGAAGAACAGTTTTCGTATAAGCAAAACGCAATGGAAATAAACGATTTTTTCGAGTCGCCAAAAATCCTTCTTGCAATCATCATTTTAGGCAAAAAACAACCTATTTTGAAAATTTGATGGAGGTTCTCGGAAGTTTATCGGCGGACTCTCGCGTTATGTAAGGGTAAAGTTGCCCCTTAAAGTCTACCGAATTTTTCGTTTTTTCAGTAGATTCTGTTAACCATAAGATATAGGAAAATACTTTTAATGGGAAAACTGAATGATATTAAAAGATCTATCACACTGCAAAAGAAAAAAGTACATATACATATGTATATGCGCATATAGCACTGTTCTATCCTGTAATTTCATAACTTCTTTTCGTTGCACATTTTTCTTATCACATTGCCCGAGCATTCGCAGTTTGAAGGAGAACAAAATATATTTACTACTCAAATAAATTGTACATATTAAATATTTTTACTTATTTATTTACTACACCCAATTTATCACTACATTCTATGGTTCCTTTAACGATATAAGTGATCAGCATGAATATTACTAGCAATCTCTGACTCCCATCTATCTCCATTGTTTAAAAGCTTCTCTTTATTGTACAACATTTCTTCGTGTGTTTCAGTTGAAAATTCAAAATTTGGACCCTAAAAAATTGCAAACAGTTACATTAATAATATTATTTGACTTTTAATCTAATACAACATTCTATGGAAGAAATAAAAAAATAGTCTTATAAGACGATCTAAAACGTCCCTAAACCAAACTGTACTTTCAACATACCGATCGGTATCTTACATACAGAGAACAATTTTCAATCCTCTACACTGTCCTGGGGGCCAAGAATCAGCCATATTAACAACTGAGAGCATATAATCAGTGAAAAGAAATAAATATGATGCGGCTCAGAGCCACATGTAAAAAATAAAGTATCTACGTCATAATATAACGTGCATAAGATAGTTTTAAACAATTCAACTTAACTTCTTTAGATTCATATACCGTTTTACTGAATCTACAAATGTTTAAGATCATATAAAACACTCATTCGGTAAAAAAAAATATGAAAATTTTTTTTCACGAAGGAAATGTCGAAAAAAACGATTGTTAATTTTGTTTACTATGGCTCACCTTAACAACAAACCTGAAAAAGGTTGACAATAATATTTATAATAATAGATAGTATTTATTGGGACACGTATTAGAGATTTTTTTGCGATTTTTTAATTGAGTATCTTAGTTATCAAAAATCAAAAATAATGAAAAAAAATTTTTTTCTTATTGAAATTTTAACAGCACCACATTTATTCTTTCACAGTAGCAACCTATTATCATAAGTAGTGTTAGGTTTTTGAGATTTTTTGGTAGGGTACACCGTAGTTTAAAAAATTAAAAACGATATTTTCGGCGTTTTTTCCGCGAAAAAGGAACTTAATTTAATAAAATATGAGAAAAAATAACAAGATAGAGACGCTAGCGGCGTGCCGCTAGACGCGTATTGCTTTTTTGGAACTGTGAGTGAATAGCGCGTTTTTTCCCCAAACGGTAATCGTGTTAAAATCGTCTTATCCGGCTATGTTGCCAGTTCCTTCAATTTTCGTTTTTTTCTAAAATGTACTATAAAAGTGAAGTTTGCATAGACATTCAATCTTATTATAGTATTAATTGTAAATACCTCCACAATTGCATCCACTGGACAAGCCTCTTGGCAAAAACCACAGTAAATACATTTAGACATATCTATATCGTATCTTGTTGTTCGTCGGGATCCATCGGCTCTTTCTTCCGCTTCTATAGTAATAGCTTGTGCTGGACATATTGCTTCACATAGTTTGCATGCAATACATCTTTCCTCACCTGAAGGATATCTAACAAAGACAATTCAATCGTATTATATTTCATCTGTTTAATATTATAAAACTCAAATACAGTAATACCGGAAGAATCTCAAAAAATTCATTGAAACTGTTCCTGATCAGATATCATCTTTAGTGCTGATTCCCGCCTAGCGAACTTTTACGACAAAACTGTAGGAAGTGATACATATCAAGAATACGCTAAATAGATTACTATAATGGACTTCACTTGATAGAGGCGAAATTGAGAGTTCTACTTTATCCGTCATAAGGCAGATTTAGACACGTTTGCCCCGTGGGTGCGCGAGTTTTGGGGTCATTGCCGCGGTGACCCCTCGCGCCTTGTGAATATCAACGTCACTGACATTCGATCTCTGATGAAGGTAGTTAGAAAACTGGTGAAACATTAAGGTACTTTTTCTTTAAAAAAAATATGGTTTCTAACAAAAATTATCACCTTATGTAAAAGATATTATAGTAAAAAAATCTGACTGTTACATGTTAAATGTTAAATTACAAAATTACAAACTACCTTCTCAAAGCATGTTCTCCTCTGAATCTTGGGCTCAGTGGACCCTTCTCAAATGGATAATTTATCGTTGCTGGTTCTCTGAAAATGTGGGATAATGTGATTCCCAATCCACGAGCAATTTCTAAGAAAAACGCTTTGTTCACTACATAGGTCGCCATGTCTTTCCAAGGTTCATCTTCAGTTTTGTACACAGACACATATTTACTTCGAATCAAAGGTGCAGTTAAAACTTTTGGCATAACCTGAAATAGTTTTAAACCTGAAAATAATTATGAAAAAAGTGAATAATTGAAGTAACAATAATAGGTCTGCAAACTTTTTCAGATTAAAATTTATTTTTAAACTGTACTAGGGTTAAGACAGAATTATAAAAATAAATTTGTGAGGTTATAGCATATTACAATAAAAATACTTCTGTAAAGAACATTCATAATCACTTATTAAAAAGTAAAAACAATCAATATCGAAATTACCAGGTTGCATAATTTTCAGAGATGTCATCTTGAAATTCTGCAAGCAATTACGCTTAATACATCAATAATCAATGTACAAACGTAATAAACCTGAACAACTACAATCTTGTATGAGTTAATAATACTAATCCGTTTCCTGTTACTGAACTAACAATTTCTTCTATATAATTTATTTCACTAGTCATAACATAGCACACTATAAATTCTCATCTGTATACACTGCGTAACAAAATGCATGATGTACCCCTTGCGAGCAAACTCGGCTTCCGCTAGGGGAAAAAGTAGCGCAGGGGAAGGGCCTCCTATCACTTTGTAAATTTATTTCAGGTACTGAAACAAATGTTACATCGAATGTTAATTTGGTATAAATTTCAGTAACTCCCAAAACTAAATGGTAGCAGACTCTTCGCCAACTTCACTTTTTCCTCTAGCGGAAGCCGAGTTGGCTCTTCGGTGTACACGATTGCAGCACTGTGTAGCTAGCAGAAGATTCAACAAACTTTCGGTCTTTCTTAAGGGATTACCCTCACCACGGGAGTTTCCGGACCTGTGTATACGACCGTGGTTTATACGAATACAATCTGTCAGAATCACGTAATTGTTGTTACAATACCAATTTTTAATGGAGTCCAATTATTTTTTTTTATAAACCAATTGTACTGATATTTCCAACATTTGAGTTTGTATGTTAACGTTCATTTTACTTTCCAAAAAAACATACTTCCGAAAAAGTTGTTTCGAATTATTTTGAATAAATATTTATCAAAAATAATTACCCGAATGTATTATTCGATTAATAATAATTCGGAATCCGTAACAAATCATTGTACCGAATAAAAATTTATTTATTTGAAATATGTATTTACTGTTATCATGCGTAGGTAAATTTAGCTGAGATTTCGTGATTTTTATTTTAAAGAATTTGCAAATTTAACTATTTATCTCTACTATTAATTTTTTATCATTGTGTCAATTTCACACCGAGAGACAAATTGAGTTGGAAAAGTGAGATGGATGAGGGTTAAAAAAGCTTTGAACATTCCACACAAATGTGTCGATACTAAAAGCTTATTGTACATTATACACATTGTTAGTAAATGTTTATTTTGTAATTTTTAGGTCAATTTCCGGTTGCGAATTCTTATCTAGGAAGTATGGTGGCAGTTTCTTCTCTAATTATACTTTCTCTTTGGAAGGCTTTTATCCAGACATTCCTTACACAATATTGATAGTTTTCGTTGTTGTCACTAGTTTAAAATAACGGATTTCTGAAAAGATAAACACACAATTAACATATAATAATTTTCCAACTGATTCTTTGTAATATAATGGAATAAGTTCTTTGAACTGATAGCATGTGATATCATTTTATTTTACATACAATCTGAAAAAATTGTACACTGCCGACCAAAAGTTTCGAACTAATTGATGGTTTTTATTAAAATTACATTTATGGCATGTTAGACCCACCGTTTGTATGGTTCATGGCACTCTGACAAACAATTTTGTTATTTATAAGAAGAAGTCTGCACTGTAGAACTAGCACATGTGTCCTAAGTTCTATATTTTAGTCTTAAGAATTTAGAGCCTTTGGTTCTCGAAAGTCGGCGAATCATCTGAGCGTAATAGAAGGAAGCGCGCGACGATTTTTCAAAGGACGGATTGGTCAATGAGTCGGACTAACCTTCTAAATTCTGCTGAATTCAAATGGCAATACATAGTATATAGATCCAGATACAATAAAGAACTTGAATAATTTTTTAATAAAGAATAAATAAACACCTCGTTGACGTCTAAAAAAAGTGTGTAGTTCCGTTAAAAAAAACAGAGGTGACTTTGAAACACTTCCAACTTCCGGAGCAGTCACATACACCACACCATGCACCATTCCAAACGATTTTGATTTGTCCAAGGAAATTTGTTCTATCTTATACCGTTTGGAAGCTATAGATTGTCCCAGTTGCATAAGACACCCTCTATACACGCGCTCGTACGCATGAAATGTAACGCGTTTATTCATATTCATGTAAGATGTCCAGTTGACGTTATTGCTGTAAATCCATTTTAGAAGTAATAAGTTACAAAATTTACGATTGTAGAAATACTGTGAAACATTGCAAAAAGAAAATGATAAATTTTTTTGGCCGGCAGTGCAATAATAAAGCATACTAACAATAAAGGTCTCCAGACGTGTATAAAAAAACACTCTTAAACAGAACTGATAGTTATATTAAAAAAAATGTATGTACCCGTACTAGTCCATTTGAAACTGCATAAACGGCCATTGCTAAAGTAGCAAAAACTCCAGCAAAAACTTGATTCCTTCTCTTATTAGGAAATTCACTTTCCGAATCTTTCTTTACAGTATGTGTATTTTCATCGGCCTTGCGTTGTTCGTATTCTTGATTCTCGTGTTCAAAATACATTTGCGATATACGCGATACGTATTTGACTAAATTTGTACAGGCCTTCAAATGGTTTTGTAACGTCGGATTCGGTAGGGGAATTTTGAGCAGCAGTGCCAAATACGAATACAGAGTAGCGTCTAATATAGTAGGACTGTCTCCAAAGAAGTAATTTGAATCTTCAAGTCTTGTAGATAACAGAGTCAAACATTTTCGTGCATCAGAGTATACCTGTTTAGTACATTAAGCTTTATTAAAGCTGTTTTAGAGCAACTGACTTTGCGAGTTGATAGAGAATTTGAAAGTAAACATTAAAGAATGTATATAGTGGCTACCATAATGTATATGTTTATTCTCAGTTCTAGGAAACTACAGTGGGGCCCGTTTAGTGTTCGCGGATTCGGAGTATTTGAAGAAGGGATGGAGAAACAGTAGGTGGCAAAGAGTGCTGAGATTTAGATTGAGTAATGGGATGAGGGGAGGGAGATATTGGGTAGAGGAAGAAAAAAGGAAGTGTAGGATATGGGAAATGGAGAGGTGGAAACATTAAAATTTGTGGGAAGAATGCATGGGATAGGGAAAAAAGAGGGGGTAGCAGGAGATGGTGGGAGATGAGGGGAAGGGAGAAGAATGGATGAGGAGAGTGGATGAAAGAAGAGATGAAAATTATAGGAGAGACGAGCACAAGCGGAGGTCCTAGGACAGAGAAGGGGTGTGTGTATGTGTGTGTGTGTGTGTACAAGCGAGGGTAAGATAAGCGAGAAGTATATATAAGGGCGTAGGTTAAAAGAATTAGTGTAAGCTTGTAAATAGGTAAGGATATTGTAATCCTAAGGGGAATCAATCAAAGGAATATAGATCCCACTTATATTACCTTATTTTCTATGTCAGTGATATTATCCTCTATAGGATATAAACACTCAAACAAAGTACGTGACTGTCGTTCAAATTTTCCAGGATAATAAAACTTTATGGGGAAAGGTAGCGTTCTACAGTACCATGGACGTATTAATTCGTCTACATTTTTTTTATCTATCCACCTAAAGACATAAATGTATCAGACAGCAGGAATGTACTTACCAAATAAATTGTAAAGCGGGATATAATTTATCTCTTAATAAATTCGCATATGCTAAAGCGGTTGCGCATTCTTCTGGCGCTAATCTGTCTTCCGAATTACTACACTGTTTTTCTTTAAAATAAGCGATTATTTTTTCAGCCGTATCTAATTTGCTCATATCAGTTTGTAATACAGGCAGTCGACCATAAGGCGCATTGTATGGATTAGTATAATTTACTTTTACATTGATACCATTAAATTTAGCATAAACCTGGAATGATAACAAAAACTATTGTATGAACTAACACACATCTTAAAATAAGCAATATTTCACGTATTTTATTTCTATTTGGTACTTCTGTTCCGCTATTTTTATTTCTTTCAAGTTTTTTTACGTGTTCTGTATGGTGTAGAAACACGCGTGATTTTTTTAGATTTTTAAAATTAATATTTCAGAAAATATAAACGATTAAAGATTGCACAAAATGCTTAAAATTGGACATCCGCTTTCGTCTAATCCAATTTTTCGTAAAATTAAAGAATAATCCATAAAGAGAAATACATTGGAAACTCACTTTCAAGAAGAAGTAAAAGTTTTACTGTCTAAATGTACAAAAAATTGGGGTATACACTAGATACTATATGTACTGAGTAGAAATAGCGTGCAAAATCACTAACGGTGATTTATCACAGTGATCGCCGAATTACGATCACGGTCATGATTTAATTTCATTCAAGACCGTGATTGCGATTTTTTTATCTTGAGATAATTTTCTCAATGCGATCGTAAGTCCTTGATCTTTAAACTGAAAAACGTATTCAATATGATTTTACAATGAATTACATTCCTATTTGTGCTTTTAAAAGTCAGTAGAAAAAACAAGAAATTCTAAAAAAATGATTTGCTAGGTAACATGTAGATTATAATTTATAATCATTAATTTATTCATTATTCTTTATTGTTTCTAATTATTCCTTCACTTTATACGATATAACTCGAATTTTTGTTTTGATGTCGTTAATATAAAATATACAGGTTACGTGTCGCGTGTAAAGAACTGTTAGGTTTTTCCACCCATCAGAAGCGATCACGAAAAATCACGAATCACTGTGAAAAATCACCGTGATTGAGAACGAACGTGATCGAATCACTTGTGATTCACAAGTAGCAGTTCACGCCATCTCTAGTACTGAGCCTCGGGTGATGTGATTGACGTCAGTTACAATTAATTAAAAAAGCAAATGTCACATATACTTATACCATACATATAAATATCCATCATTGTTAATGATTGAGTAATACACAAGAATTGAAAAATAATGGAATTAAATTTTAACAGAATACTAACACAATTATAAAGAACCTTTATCAATATCAATATATTACTGAAAATTTTTTCATCAAGCAAAACATTATAAAAGTCTTAAAATTTTTCTTAGTACATGTAGTAACATACTAGATACTACAAACTTAAAATATCATAAGTACTTAAAAACACTATGACCATTAGCAATATATCATTTGAATTTGTTTTTATGTATTGAATTATTGTAGATTATGATTTCTATACAATATGTGATTATTGGTTCAATTATGATTACCAAACTTCAATACTGTCCATATGAATAGCTTTACCAGTGATTCTAATAATTAATAAGCAATATGAAAGAAAAGTACTTTTAATATTTTCTTTATATTGTAGTTATTAGATATTTAAATGCAATTGAAGAAATGTTTAAATAAACCACAATTATAAACTAATCACCGTACCATGGCATTGCATGCTATGAAAAATCTAATTTTATTGCTGCAACATATGTTGAATGAGTTTCACTAAGTTCTCTGAACATTTAAACGTTTTTTAGAACCATGTTCCTCTTTTTCAATTACTAAATCAATTATTTCAAAGTAAGAAATATTTTAAATCATAAAGAAATGTCAAGACCAATGATTACAAGAACAATTTGTTCTTCTTCTTGTAGATTATGGTGATAATACAGTAGGGTCCGGTTATTGTAACACTGCTTATAACAGCAGACCGCATATTGCATTCGACTTGCTCTCTAAGTTCGGTTTCCATACAAATTACTTTATATATATTTTTATTCTGCGTATAACAACGTTCGTTTACAGCGACGTAATTTCTCTGTACCTTGAATATCGCTATAAACGGACTCCACTGTAATGAAAAATAATCCATCTAATAACCTAAAAAAAAAATAATCCATCTAATAACCTAAAATTTGTTGGAAAAAGGCACACTATACCACTGGTATGTCTAATTTGTTTCTTTACCTAAAATAGAATATTTTTATGTAAAGCTCTTTAAGCGAACAATGGTGTATATGCATAGTCTTCAGAAAAACAACCTAAAAATAATTTTCACATAAAAGAATTATGAATAAAAATTATAATAGGTTAAAAAAAATCGTATAAAATATAAAAATTTGCATAACACAGTGAATGTTACTATGAAAAATTTAGAATAATATTCCATCCATTGCTTTCCCTTGTACAAAATCTGCTAATGAACAACGAAAGTACACATATATTTTACTGTAAATTGTATCATAACCAATATTCAAATTACGTACCAATACTTGCAAACATTCCAAATCCAGTGATGGTAAACCCCAGTCACCTGGCCACACATTTAATTCCAATACTTCCATATCGTGAAAGACAAAATCAATCACTTATTCATTTAATCAGTTAAGTATAAAATAAGTGTAGTCTAATAGGTTCCGGCGTATTCCGAATGCTTGTAAACAAACAACAGTTTCTTCATGCCAATGATCGTATCAGTTGTATAAGTTTAATGATAATCTTAAAACAGCCTAACATCATTTCACTTTCACGTGTAAAACAGAAATAAGTAAATTTCGATGAAATTAAAATTCAACAATATTCTCTTTTTGAAAATGTTTTAAAGTAAATCAACATCTGCAAGGGGGAATGAAGTTATATTACTTAAATTTTAGTGATTTTATTATTCTATGTCAGTTGAATGCGTGCATGATACACGTGCTACAATTTGATTCATTATCAGAGACATCAATACTGATCAATATACATACAGAAAATGTGTAAACAGTATTCAATAAATTACTTACTCATCGTTCTCCAGTCATTCGAGAGACGATATTGGACGATATAAAGAAGTAGGTACGTTCCCATCTATAGTATTGCATTAAAAATTTTGAAATCATCAATGTTTCCTCCGTATCCTCATTTGAACGGTTGTGTACACCGTGTAACACGAAATTTAAAAGCTTGAAGTTGGACCGTGTGACATGGACTTTACAGGCGCGAAGTTTCAATCAAAATGAATGTAACAACACCGATAAGTGTAGAGTCACCGACTAGGTATAGAATAGACCTATCATCCAATGCTTTTTTCTGTGCTACGTTTATAGGGCTACGTAGCCCTGTTACCATTTTAGTGTCAATACCCGACGTTACCGATAAAGCATGAATTCTGAGTATTATTAGCACAAATGAAGTGTTATATATTCCATTCATATTATGTGTATCTATATGATTTCACGAGAATAAAAATATTCTTGTGAAGCTTATGTGTCTTGAAGCTTATTATTATTCTCGTGTTTAGTCTTTGCCTGGTAAGTAGGATTTGGAGAAAGACTCGTGCGTGCCAGGGTACGGAGTAGTCGGGAGGCTGCTCCGTAAACGGACTCTGTTTAACAGAGAATCTCGCTTGCACTACCATGCTTGTGTACTCTTTTGGTTCGGGTCTGGTACGCAGGTGACCAGCCCAAAGCTCCATGACAGTAAAAGATGGATCCGGGTTAGCGAGGTGTCGCCCGTCTTTCCTATTTTCTTAAACCAGGTTCTGGCGACAACACTTTCATCGCGATACTTGTTCATACTGTAGTTTAACGTGGTTCATCGTAGAATTAATTACTGCTTGGTATATAGAATACTAGGTGCGTAAACGAAATGATCGATGGAACTTTTTCCATTCCATCTATCTCTTTCGTTTCAGTATTAGCGACTACGTTGCATTAAATTTGTTATTTCGTATTACTAGCATTAATTCGTATTAATTAGAATATTAAGATAATATTAGTTCTAAGCTGAAGAACGAAGACAACCGACGAGGGAACTTAGTTTTTTATAGGTTTAGGCTCAAGAAAGAAGTCATCCGCCGAGGGATTTTGGTACCGATAGTATTACATAGTTAAGATTTAAGTTATTTATAAGGTTTATTGTGAAAGGTGGGAAGATGTAGAACTTGTGATTCCATCTATCTGCCTTGGGCCTCCACTCGCAGCAACCTCCTCGTGGTGAGGCCTGGGCAATCGGTATTATCATCGGTAAAGTACTGTAAACTGATGACAATATCGAGCTAATGGCTGCGAACTTCGAATCTATCTCATAAAACCACGTTCTATATTACATCGAACTAGGATTATTTTAGAAATCGATATGAAATTCAAAGTGTAAAAATGTCTAGTACTTTGAATGTTTTAGAAAAGTATTCGAGATAAACATGTATGGAACTACTGAAAATTACTTTAAATTCCTTTTCCTTATTCTTATTGAAGTATGAACATTTTCACAGGACAATGATATAAATGAAACTTTGAAGCTTTTTTAAATGTTACAGTGATATTTCGTTACATGTTCCATAATGTCAATAGATTTCCCTGCAACATCCATAATTATTACAAATGGCAATATAACGAAATATCTTTTATGCGATGTTTGTGATGTAATAAAAATCTGTTTCGATTACGTTTTTGATACGTATTACTCACTTATATGTAATAAAATAGAATAAAAATATACTGTTAGTCCGATATTTGAAAATATACATGCGTTCGTTGTCACTGTTAGACTGTTGTAATAACAATGGAATAATAAAATAATTTAATCAAATGTACATAATAATATATATACATATTCATAAAAACAATATTAAGCGCAATAACTTTTTTGTACGCGAAAAAAAACCAATAGGTCCGTCGGAACTGGAACCCAAGACTCCTTTCTAATATGTCTACTTTACAGTGAACGGACGGAAGAGAATCCGTTCACGACCATGGTTCCTTCGATGATTTTCCGACGTACCAAACACTCATGATCTGACAACATTGTACTTTAGACTCGACGACACTGTAGAAGTTAGACTAGTTGAGCTCGAATGGATTCAACGTAGTTCACAAATTCACCGTTCTCATAACGTAGAGGGCAGCAGAAAATCCCTGACTTTTTACACTATCGGTATTTCAGAACATGAGACACGAAGTCCCATAAGATGATAGGTCTATCCTATACCTCGTCGGTGGTAGAGTACTGTTCGAGGGAGTGGTGGGTACAGACTATAGGGTGGTGTGAAAATAAGGTTTAAAAATCGTTTAATGCTTATGATTTCCAAATCTGTGAAAAATGTTTCACTTTGCAAGGAGTACATTCTTTTTATTTGTATTTTTACCATAAAGTTATCTTTAGATTTCTATTTTAAATATAGTATTTCAATATAAATGATCCAGAAATAAGTTATTATACAATTTTAAAGATTATTATACATGATACAAACTAATGACAATATACTTAAAATATCTTAAATAATATACTAAAGTCATCACAAGGTCATCGTATACTAGGTCATCGAATTCGTCTTGACATCACCTATGGCCTATGATATTATGAACTTAAAAATACATAGTTCCATTTAAAACAATTGTAGAGACCTTTATGTTTTTTTTAAGAGAAATTTCTTTTGGCTGTTTTTAAAGTTGCAATTTCTTGCCGATTGAATGTTGACCACATTTTCTTCGCAACATTTTTTTGTCATATTATCTGAAATGTCGAAAAAATCATGAGGATTGATTCGACACACCCTTTATATACAGGGTGTACTACGAAACGTGGTCAGCTTAGATTATTCTACTGCTAGCTGTCCGATCTAAATTTTTTTGCATGCTTAACAATTAGTGAAGACGTCATAAATAGAACTAAGCAATCCTTTCTGAACTGTTTACGCGAATGTATTGCAGCTGATGGGCACCATTTTGAAAATCGTTTTAATTAAGGCAAATAATATTTTCATGTTTTTTTGGTTTAGAAGAGAAAAAAAATTATTTGTTATGCTCCAAATTTGCCTCAGTATCCGCTAAAAGATGAACGGAAAAAAATTACAGGTTTATGTGCAACAAACTAAAGGTGACCTTGAAAATTCTGGGGACAAAAATTGTACCATCATCTTAAAGCTCTCCTTGAATCAGATTATACTAGCTAAACACATTTTTGATCAAACAGCTAGCAGTAGAATAATGTAAGCTGATCACATTTCATGGTTTACCTGTATGGTAGAGAAGTTCAGACATGTATAACTACAGTGGATGTTTATGTAAATTCGAAATTGTAAAGGATAATTGATTAGAACAGAAACTGGTTATCAATATCTTTCTTCTCTTGTAATATTTTTAAGTTGAAAATGAAGGTCTTTATTCTATTGTGTCTTAGACAGTTAGATGTGCTATAAATGTATACAATCCACAGTATACTCACAAGAAATTGTAGTATTCGTGTGTTTTAAATCCATATCTATGAAAAAAATTGATTTTGTGTTTTTAACTTTCTACTCATACAAAATTCTCTTCAATTGTACCATGAGTTATTTTCTATTGTATGCGTAGCATTACAGAAATACTGAGCATATCAATGTTTATGCTACCATTAATCGAGGCGCAATGTTCATAGCCATAAGTTCTTGGAAAAGTAGTTTTGCTGCATATGGTAATCTGACTTGAGAAATCTGTGTTTTGTTTTTACAGCCTTTACATTCGAATGTATTGTTTCTTAAATTTGCTATTGCAATCAGACCACAAAAATTACATATGTGTATCCGATATGGATCAGAAACTTCGAATAAGCGTTCCCTAAGGAATTGTGCAGCTCCATGAGAAATCTGACAATCACGTTCCATTTCACCAAACCGTAAACCTCCATCCCTATAAATGAAATTAATGTTCACGTATATATAAATAAATTGCAGCGGACAAGCACAAGTAGTAGAAATAATAGAAATAACACAAGGCACCTTGCTCTTCCTTCCATAGGTTGTCGAACTAAAATCTGAACAGGTCCACGAGCTCTGCTATGAATTTTATCATCTACCATATGTTTTAAACGTTGATAGTACGTTGGTCCTAAAAAGACTTGAGCGTTAATCTTACGTCCAGTATGACCATTATACATAACTTCATTTCCTCTAAGTTGATATCCATATTCTTGTAGAAGAGTAGATATTTTCTGTACATTTACAGCATCATTAAATGGAGTAGCATCACCAATTTCACCTGTTGAAAAATACAGTAATGTCAGCAGTTAATGTGTACCTATTTTAATTGCTTTCTGGCGAATTAGAGTACATATTGTATTCAAATATACCTTTGTTGGCTGATACTTTTCCCTGGATACATTCAATTAAATGGCCAATAGTCATACGCGATGGGATAGCATGAGGATTAATTATAATATCTGGCGTAAGACCTTCGCATGAAAATGGCATATCTTCTTGCCTATATTGAATTCCACAGGTACCTTTTTGCCCATGGCGTGAAGCAAACTTATCGCCAATTTGTGGAATTCGAACACTTCGTACTCTTATTTTACAAAATTTATACCCTTCACTATTTAGAGTTAACATCACCTGATCCACTATTCCAGTTTCACTATTACGTAAGAAGGTAGATGCATCCCGTTTTGTAAAACGTTTTGTCGTACTATCCAACTATAATCATAATTTAAAAAAAAGGATTGTATATAATAACATTACACAATAATATAATACATTTAAAGTGATAATAATATATAATGCATACTTCATCATCTGCTTCTGGCAAAGTAATAGTTTTACCTATAACTACATCATCTCCAGATACACGAATTCCTGGAGCAATAATCCCGTCATCATCCAATTTATCATATATAGCATTCCGCATTCCCTGACAACTCTGACGTGTAGGCTTTTCAAATTGTTCTTCTTGATCGCCAATTCTCTTAGACTCTGAATCTTTGTAAGATCTATAGAATACAGATCGGAAAAAACCCCTTTCAACAGCACTAGCATTCAAGATAACACTGTCTTCTTGATTATAGCCAGTGTAACATAATATAGCAACTATACTGTTAATTCCAGCTGGTAATTCTCGGAATCTAAGATATTCCATAGACCTTGTTGTAACTAAAGGTTTGTGGGGATAATACAATACATGAGCTAAAGTATCCATGCGTACATGAAAATTTGTGATGTACACTCCCATAGCCTGTTTACCCATAGCACTTTGATAAGTGTTTCTTGGACTCTGATTGTGATCCGGAAATGGAATAATTGAAGCACATACACCTAAAATCATGGCTGGATGAATTTCACAGTGTGTGTATGTTGTACAATAAGCATATTCCTTTTCCTGCCTTAGATCTTCAGGTGACATAGCGATCATAACAGTCTCTTCCTCTAAAGTATCAATATATTCTACCACTCCACTACCAACCAACTCCTGCCAACCATCATTATTGTAATCTCTTTCCTTCAACATATCAATATGCCTTTTCTTTAACAACAGGTTTTGTCCTTCTACAATTAATAAAGGCCTACTAATTCGTCCTGCATCTGTATATATTCTGATTTCGCGATCTCTAATATCTCTGATCATTGACACTTCTGACACAATAATGTCCATCTGACGTCTCAATTTACGTAAAGTAGCCATTAGCTGATCAGGATCTCTGTGAATACCAACCCAACAGCCGTTTACAAATATTTTTGTTGCATCAGCTATCGCACTTGGTGCAATTTCTTCGAGATTTTCCATAGACCATTCCTCTAAGAATTCAAGAATTGGTGAAGGTTGGGATCCAACGCTAATGTACGCCATTAATGCCAAATTCTTCACTAAACCTACAGCAGCACCCTCAGGGAAATGCGAAAGTGTAGATGCAAAAGTCAGTCTGTTCAATACTTGAGACACACCAGCCCTAGCTTGATGAGCCTTTTTCTGATCGCCCCAATTACCTGTAGCAAGTGAATATCGTAAACCATCAGTTATGATTTTGGTTTTAATGGCAAGCTCAAGGTTAAAGTCTTTTCCTCTGTCTATGAATTTCTGTGCATACAATCTGACTTCTTTCATTAGGTTCTTAAATAAACCTCTAAATAAAAATGCTAATAATGGACCAGCTAAGTCTAGTCGCTTATTGCCATAGTGATCTCGATCATCCAATTCCCTTCTACCAAGAGATGCCGATAATAATCTGTGTACCATATAACCAAGGAAGTAAGCCTTCTTAGTTTCACAAAAATCACTTATTCCTACATGTGGAAGCATTTCTTTCTGTAAAATTTCTCTAGCATATTTAATACGTTTCTCTTTTGTTACTCCAGGTCTTGCACCTCTAGTACCAATGAAATTCAATGCAACATTTTGTTCTTGTATAACAAATGCTTCATCTAAAGAAGGTTTCACCATTTCCATCATTTCTGGATCATCAAAGTCATATATAATGTGTTCTAAAATATCACGATCAGCCACAAATCCAAGTGCTCGAAAAACAATCATAATTGGAATTTCTTGTTTAATATATGGAATAATTGCAATAATACGTTGCCCTATAGCAGATTTTTTAATACTAGCTCCGCTTTTTGCCATCATATTAATCCACAATGTAGATGTAGGACGGGAACTATGTTCCAAACAAGATCTAATTTCAGATTTATATGCATATTTTCCATCTTTCATACTAAATACATACACAGTATTTGTTGCCATTTTTTCTTGAGCAATTAATACTTTTTCCGATCCATTAATTATAAAGTAACCACCAGGATCTAATGGACACTCATTTAATTCTGTTAAATCACGGTCAGATAAGCCGGCAAGTAAGCAGTATTTTGATCTTAACATAATCGGAATTTTTCCTATAAATGTCTTTTGATGCTGTGTTTCAATAGGATCTTCACCGTCTTTTACAATCGTTTTAGTTATATCTACATATAATGGTGCAGAATAAGTCAAATTTCTAAGCCTAGCCTCATTAGGCATCATAGGAGATGGAGCACCATCCTTTTCCCAATGTGTAGGCTTCGATAAATAAATCTGTTCAAACTTTAACAAATGTCTAACAGGATTTTCTATTTCTCCTGACGTATGTTGTGCTTCTGCTTGTAAATCAATTTGTGGCGAATCTTCAACAATTCTTTGAACAGACATTTCAATGAATTCATCGAAACTGTCAAGTTGTTGTCGCACAAGACCTTTTTCATCAAAATAAGCGTTAATAACAATCCAGCACGCTTCTTGCCAAAGTTTTGATGAAATTTCCTCCGCATCTTCATCATCATATTGATCTACATAACAAAGAAAATATATATAAGTTATTGTTTTGAAATCTCCAAAGCACAATTTACATATACAGTAACATTATTTTTAATTTCAACATTTATAGCAGCGTTGGGCAGCATTGGGGCCCATCATGCATTTGTTTCCCTTTCCAACTGTTCTTTTGCGCCATGTGTCTTTGTGAAGCCAAAGATACTCAAACTCTTGTTTCTAATACACCATGGCAACAGCAGATAGTGATAGGAACAGGTTTTATCTCTCGGGACCAAACTTTGCCCACCGCTGATTTATAGGCAATTATTTTTCTAACTTGACGACAGAAAGAACATGCTTAAATAAAAGTTTTAGGTAGAATTTTACTTCTCTGAGAAGTCGTGATTTGCAAAACTCTGAACATAAACAAAAAGTGCATTGAGGTTATATTACAACATTGTTGCTTGTAATTTCCGTCTACTGATATAAACATTACATTTGTACCAAAACTCTTACCATCTTCTAAAGCATACATGGTTTATTTACAAAACTTTTGTAAATATATATACACAGTTTTTTAATATTAACTTTTACCGCACTAAACTGCAGTAAACAGGGCCTGTTAATTCCTCGTTAACTTTGGTTAACTCCGTTAACTCCTATGGACACTCTTATAATCGTACCAAATCGTTTCGTAAACTGTCGTAAACAGCGGTAAACAGCGTAAAGCATAGACATATGTATGCTTATGTGTACGTATGACCGTGGTACTAGCTTGATAAGAGGGGTCATAGAACCCCCGGAGGTGGCGCCAGAGACACGTGTGGTGAGATAGTGGGGTCATAGAACCCCCGGAGGAGGCACCAGAGACCCCGTGTGATGAGATCGTGGGGTCATAGACCCCCCGAAGGAGGCGCCAGAGACCCCGTGTGGTGAGATCGTGGGGTCATAGAACCCCCGGAGGAGGCGCCACAGACCCCGAGTGGTGAGATCGTGGGGTCATAGAACCCCCGGAGGAGGCGCCAGAAACTCGGCCTCGAACTCGGTTTAATGTTGCTCATGCAACTGTCCAAATCTAACTGACACTTGTGCGTGCTTCCGTGAGCAAATTATATAGTAACCCCAGCAACCATGGCAGTTTCTGCTGATACTACTACAGCCCAAGTTTAAAAGACGTAGGCAGTAGTTAGTTTCTGTAGTAACCTGTTGAACCAGACAACTATAATTAGTATAGGATTGTACAATCTTTATGCAGTTATATTTAAGACAATTCGATGAAATGAAGCTTATATTACCTGACGTATGTC